TTTTTTTTTTTTTATGGCATTCACTGTCACACATATTGTAATTACGCAATACACAACCCCCATTATGGTGGGTGCCAATCTCCACAATTTCACTCTTGAAACTTGAAAGAAGTAGTAGGAAAGCTAGCTGAAGCACCAATCTCATGCAAAATCTTAATCCACTCGATTGGGCATGATTAATTTTATGGATCTGTTTGAATAGAAGAGGATTTATAAACCACTTGATGATGTCTTCCATATCTCCTCAAGTTCCCTAGCAAAAGCTTTCTGTCTTCCAACAACAATGGTGATATGATCTTTGTTCTCAATGATCTTTACACGAGCACGGGGGATCCTAGCTTGGACATTGTGGCTACATTCAACCGGAATCAATTCATCATCTTTCCCATGGAATATGGTGACATCGCATTTCAGGCAGTCGCAGACCACATCGAGGTAGCCGTCTAGCTTGCTGGCGGTGCCGCAGATGATGTTGTGGAGTGTATGCCATGCCGCATTGTGAGTGTGGCAGAAAAAGCCTTCAAGCAAGAATGTCCTGATCCTGTGAATGCAATATTTGCCAAATTGCATTAATATCAGAATAGTGTTGGTAGATGAAGGTCATTGTCAAGAAGCATTACTAAAATCAATTTTACGTGGCAGGAGAGCCAGGAGAGTAAACAGGCCATCATTATAAATGAAACAGCCAATATTAATTTCACCATTATGCACCTGTCTCCATCGATTGGAACTTCATTTGACTTTAGTTTCCCGGGGCCCGGGTTGCATGGAAGAAGTTTCAATTTTACCAATCGACCCTCATTCATATTGGATTTTTTAATCTCATCATGTGCAGTTAATTGGCTATAGTATGTAGGGGGAGTTAACAAGTGGAAAAAACCATGAACCCCCTAGTTTAACTCAAATTTTAGTGAGGGTTATGAAGAGAAAAAGCAAAATTAAAAAATAAAAATCACATCTACTTAATTTTTACTTTCTCTAATTTATTTTATTTGTCACACTTTTATTTTAAAAAATTACAAAAAAATTAAAAAAAATATATAGTTATTATTAATTAAAATTTCATATTTACCATTAATAATGAGACAAAACCCCAAATCTACTCCCACATAGGAATAAGAATAGATTTACCTCTTAAAAAAATAATTAAAAAAATAAAAATAAATTATCTTTTTAAATCATCAATTAAAACAAATGATTAATTATTTAACCACTAATGTTATCAAACATCAAGAATTCATTTGTCACTAGGCTTATCTTTAATTAAAAATTGGCATGTGATGATGTCAGTTGATAAATAATAAGTTATTTATCTATATGACAATTCTAAAAGGTAATATATTTTTACATATTTTTGAGGAACAAATTTCTCCTTACATTTCTTTTTTTTTTTTTGAACCGGATTTGAGGGTTCAGTCTATTAGTGAAGGTAGTTGATAAGTTAGGTTGTGTTTTTTTAATGAATGAAGTAATTATTAATAGAGACAAAATTTTAAAAAATGTTAATAATATGTTTAAAATTAAAATTGACAAATAAATTAGATCAGCTACTAACTTCTTACATCACTTTCAAAATATGGTTTTCAATCGTGGGACTAACAACTGAGAAAAACCCCGTTGGATTTACAAAGACATCATAAAGTAGACACAAATAGGTAGTTTGGAAAATTAATTAGCTAGGCCAAAAAATGTTGACACTGATTTTGTTTGGGAAAGAGAACAATAAGATGTATGGGGTCCTTTTTTCAGAATAATATGTAGCGTCTAAGGATTAATTAGTATTTGATAAGGATTTTAAGGAGTGTTTGATAAGGACACGAATTGTTTTGTTTGTTTTGGGGTTGGCAAAGTTATTACCTGTTTCTGGTGACCAGTTTGGTGAGAAATTCCCACAGCCGGTGGTTCTTGCAGATCAACAGGCAAACCGTCCGAGTGATGTGCTCATACCAGCACCCGATTGACGCGCACAATGCCATGGGTGGCCACACGCGCCGCGGTGCAATCTTCCTCATCACATATTGCGTGCCTTGTTCGCCCTTGGGCACAGGGTAATATGGCTGTTATTTGCATTTACGCGTGTCATTAATATTTTTGGCGAAAAAAGAATTGCAATCTTTTATACTAACAATATGGTATTATTTTTTTACTGTGTGGACAATCAAATAAAATACTAATGACTAAATTAAGAAGTTCTCCTTTACAATAAAGAAATCCTTTTGATAAGATAATATTTTGTAGTTTAACGACAAAATATTTTATGTTTTTGTAAAAAGAAAAAAAAAATCTGAGAAAAAAATGAAGAACTTACAGGGGCAAGAAGTGTAAGGGACTTGACGGATCCGGGGTATTTCACAGCGAGAGCGAGGGCCAAAATGCATCCTAATGAATGAGCCACAATATGAAAGGATTTAACTTTATATTGTTCAAGGACGGATTTTTCAATCATCTCCACATGCTCTCGCAGTGTGTAAAGGGAGTCCACTGGCTTAGGACTTCTCCCAAATCCCAGCAGATCTACGGCGAGAAATCGATATGTTGATTTAGCAGAAGTTGAGAAGTTTGGAAACAAAGTTTCCGTCCAAAATGCCGACGATGAAATGAACCCATGAATGAATAGCACATCTTCCCGTGGGTTGTCTGAAATGTTACCGACCAAATTAACATCAAGTCTAAAAAACGCTGAATGTAATAAATGAAAAGGCCTTCTTTGTCAAGTTAATTTTTTAAATTCAAGATCAAATTCAAAACTCCTTAAGAAATAACAAGTAATTATATTAAAAATTGTGGGTTTACCTTTTGGTCCCTCAGCTCTAACAAAAAGGGTTTCTTTGTTAGAGGAGGTCCAAGAAGTGCAAAACTGACAATCACAATCGGACCATCTTGGGATCGGATGCAATTGCTGCCCAACCATCTTTCCTTGAAGCATTTCAACAATGGTGGAATTGACAGAGAATGTGGATCTAACAGTCCTGCCTTTCTTAATCTTCTCGCAAGATTGGACAATGTTAGTATCTACTTTGAGCTTCTTTAGCTCGGCTATGGTTAACTTGGAGAGTACAGAGACAGGAGAATGGCGCGTGTAGAGGGTGTCTGAAATGTCCTCTAGTTGTAATTTGCTGGAACTGAGACAAACTACCTTGGACTCACCTTGCTCGGAGACAAGGATCTTGCCACCACTTGTAATGACCTCTTTGGAGGAGGAACAGTAACAAGGCTTCCATTCGGCTTCAATAAAGAAATCAACGATTCTGTAAACGAAACATAGAAGGAAATCGAGAAGGTCGAGAAAACAAAAGACAATGAAGCTAACGGCCTCGTTTAAAATTCTGCCTGTTAATGCTAAAACCGATCTGGTTTTGCACATTACAGCCATTTGAGAAACTCTCGAAAACATTCACCAAGGTGCTAAAATAACTGATATCCTGGCCCCAGAAAGAAAGAGAGATGTGGACTGAACGTGAAAGATAAAACTGAGTCCTGTGTTTGTAGAGAAATATCCAACTCTATCATAAAAGGTAAGAAGAAGAATAAATTGTGAGGGTTTTGCTCATTTAGTTTTTTCTGCAAATCGGTGGAGGACAACAGGCTAGGTCTACCTAAGAGAAATTATGGAGGAGTGTGAGGAAATTTCTCTTGAAACTAAATACAGAGTGCTAGAGGGGGATGGACAAGGGAGAAAACAAGAGATATTGGAGAAATGAATTCAATGTTTCATTTAACATCGTTTGTTGGCTAAGGAAAAAAAGGTAGGTGGTGGTTGAACCCCCCTGCGAAGAAACAATTCTTCTCCTCAGCAAATATTAGGCCTACATTTAAGCTTTCTTCTGCCCATACATCTCCATATAAATGTATTTCTTTTGCATATATTTAAAAGACACAAGTTTTCCTTCTCCTCTTCTCAAACCCAAGATAGAAGAAAGAACAAAGGGGAAAGGCAAAGAGGGAAAAATGGAACAACTTCCTTGTTACTCTGAAATATGGTCACCCTTTTTCTCATCCATATTCTTATATACAAGTTTACAACTCTTCTTTCCTTGTGAAGACGGACCCAACCTTCATTAATGTTATACAATTTTGAAATGAAATGGTTTCCTAACCTCTCATTCGTTTTTATTGCATGCCAAATTCTTATCACTTATCACATGTTTGATGTTTTTCCGATTTCCCATGAAGGACTAAGCTTTCCCACCGTCCTAATTAACTTTATATGGTTAAGAACATAACACAAGCATAACACTTTTATTTTGTTAGTTTAACAGTGAAGAAATTGTCAAATCAATTTATATATACTTTAAAACTAATTATTTCATAATTTAGTTTAAAATAAACTATTTAGGTAAAAACTATTAACTTCATAAATAATTTGTCTTTTTATATATTGACTTCCTTAAAAATTTAAATATTAATCAATAATGGAGAGCAAACCCCCTAACAAGTTAAACCTTCACTTCTTTGACACGTATTTTCGTTTTTATCAATAGGGATGAACACTTTTCTTTGTTTAAAAAGTTTTTGAATTGAAGAGTCTAAATACAATATTTTCGTTTTTTTTACCTTTTTACCATCGAATTGAATTTTGTTGTGAAAACAAAAAAACACATAAAATTAAATTTAACTCAAATACATATATTTTATTATTTATAATTTAAGGAGTAAAATAGGTGTTAATTTCAACATAGTCATAGATTTCACAATACAAGTCACAGTTTTAGCCAGACAATACCAATTTCATGTAGATGTACAAAAGGCCACGTGCTTAATTTTTTAAAACTAATTAATCCCGAGGACCACGATAGCTCCAGCAAAAACCTAATTTTAGTTCTTTACTTTATTTATAGATTTTAGTCCGGGACCATAATAACTCTGGTAAAATCTTACTTTTAATCATTTATTTTATTTTGTAAGTTTTACTCAGAAGGTCACAATAGCTTCAACAAAAATTTAATTTTAGTAATTTATTTTAATAAATTTATAAATTTTAATTATTTATTTTATATTATAATATTTTTAATCTTTTACTTATATAAATTAAAATAAATAATCCTTACTTATCTTCAAATTATAACGTACCATCAACTGAACTATTAATATTCTAGTAGTTTTACCTTGGTCAGTGCCACCTTTATGCTAATGCCACTATTAACTTCTAAGAGCAGGAAATTTCTTGCTTATATAATAAAAAAATGTGAAAGCTTTCCCGAGAAACCTACTGCACTCTTTAGGAATTCTAACCTTTTTTTTTTAAGCCTTTATTTTTAAAGACGGCTGCGTATTTACATTCTATGTAACACTTATTTATTATTAAATAAATAAATATAATTAATATTATAAATTTTAAATAAATAAATAAAAATATATAATATAATAAAAAAATAATTTAAACTTTTCTTTTTAAAGATTACTATATATATTTATTGTAAATAATTTTTACATATTATTAAATAAATAAATATAATTAATATAATAAGTCTCAAATGAAAAAAATAAAATATATAATATAATAAAAAAATGTTAAAGCTTCCCCGAGAAGCTTGCTGCATTTTTTTGGAAATTTAACAGTTTTTTGAGCCTTTATTTTTAAAGATTGCAGCGTATGTTCATTATATTCAATCTAAAAAATAGTTTTTATACAATATATTTTTAATTTTGAGATTAAAATATAAACAACAAATTAAATAAGACAAGAAAGCTATTTTAAGATAGCTGCAAATATACTTTATTCTTATTTTAATTTGTTGTTTATACTTTAATTTCAAAATTAAGAATATATTTTATATAAGCCATTTTTTAGGTTGAATATAATAGATATATGCAGTAGTTTTTAAAAATAAAAGTCCCAAAAAAATGTTAAAATTCCCCAAAATATGCAGCAAGCTTCTCGGGGAAGCTTTATCATTTTTTATTATATTATATATTTTATTTATTTTTTTATTTATTTAGGACTTATGATAATTAATAATATGTAAAAATTGTATAAAATGAATATATGCAGTAGTTTTTAAAAATAAAAGCTCAAATCATTTTTTTATTATATTATGTATTTTATTCATTCTTTTTATTTATTTAAAACTTATGATATTAATTGTATTTACTTATTTAATAATATTTAAAAATTGTATACAATGAATATATATAGTAGTCTTTAAAAATAAAGGCCCAAATTATTTTTTTATTATATTATGTATTTTATTTATTTTTTTTATTTATTTGGAATCTATAATATTAACTGTATATATTTATTTAATAATATATATTATATCCAATGCAGCAATCTTTAAAAATAAAGACCCAAAAAAAATATTAGAATTCTCAAAAATTGCATCAGGCTTCTCGGGAAAGTTTTTCTTTTTTTTTTTTTATTATATAAGCAGAAAATTTCCCAACCTTAAATGCTATGGTGAGATGTCTAATTGGCATAAATTAACTTAAGTAATGGTGATGAGAACAAAATTATCAGGATATTAATAGTCAGTTAATCAAACGATATAATCTAGAGTTAAATAAGAGCTATTTTTTTTAATTTATATATATATATATATATGAAGGATTAAAAATATTATAATATATGATTAAATACTAAAATTTATAAATTTATTAAGATAAAAAGATAAAAACAAGCTTTTACGAATAGCTAGGCATAAATAATTGATCCTGGTCCAGGCTCGGTTGTGGCTTGGGCCTATGCCTCGGCATGTAACATCCACTCTCATAAAGGGCTAAGGGCTAAGAACTTAACGCAGACACAACACATTTTCTTTTTAATAAGCAACACTACACGTTTTCCTTTTAATAAGCAACATAATTCACACATAACACATTTCTTAAGGCTATCTTTTGCAACTGTATTTGCTACAGGTCACAACTTTAAAAGTTTATTTACTATCAAAATTTTATCAAAGGCTTATAAATATATAAAAATTAATTTATGAGATTAATTTGCCAATCATTCATTTTTAAAAACTACTAAAAAAAGACACAAAAAGGCATATCCAAGGCCACAAGTTCAATATATTATGTTCTCTTTCTTTTATGAGTTAAGTGTTTACAGATTAGATTATAATATATTATAATACATTGATCATTAAATGAAGTTATCAGTATTTATTATTATGAAAAAAATTTATTTGATAATTAATATTTTACTGTTTAAATTATAAAATATAAATTTATTTTTCTTATTTTCCATTTGCTGGCTGATATTCTTGGACAACGTGATGTGTTGGACTCATTCCTAGATGACCATTTCAACTATGTTTGTTACATGGCATTGCATTTATACCATGCTCACTTTCCCTTGGGCGTAATGTCATACCTGCTGAAAGTACTAAAGCAGCGTAAATTAATCTTGATATAAGTCAAAAGCTTATAATTTTTTTTTTTCAATGAAATGGAGACTTCTCATCACTTCAATTTTCCTAGGCTCATAATGTTGATTTTTGTCTCCTTTTTTGTCTTACCAGTTCTATCTAATTTTACCTCATTTTTGTTTGGAGACTCACTAATTGATGCCGGGAACAATGACTATTTGTTCACCCTTTCTAAGGCCAACTTACCTCCTTACGGCGTCGACTTCAAGCCTTCCGGTGGGTTGCCCACCGGACGATTCACCAATGGCCGGACCATATCGGACATTGTAGGTAATAATACCTTTGTTCTGTAATTAGATTAGATAGTTTTTTTTTTTTTTTGACATCTGTTTACTAGGTTAATTAGACAACAAAAGATAACTCTCCTTTCTACCTCTTTTTTCACAAATGATTAATTACTATATTTCTATTTAAATTTAATAGTTTTATTTTGATTTTTTGAACAAAAATTTCAGATGAAAATTTAATAACTTATATAAATAATAATTGAATTTTTTTTATAATTTTTGTTAAATATTTTTATTTGATAAAAAATTTTAATTATGATTTAAATAATATATTAAAATTTCATCTGAATTTTATGTCTAAAAAATTAAAAAATTAAATTAAGATTACTAGATTTAAACAAATGAATTGAAATAGTATTTTTTTTCCCACTTGAATATACAGAGAAAATTAAAAATGTTAGAATAATAATTTTTTTTAAATGCACTGAAAAAAATTCAGAAGTCATTAATACCAAGTTCAGCTATTTGGTTAGGGGATGAAGAAAGTTGGCATATATGAAATAAATTGTACCCACCAAATTGTTTTGTCCATAAATTACTGTTGAAAAACAATGCTGCCACCCAATTAATTATGTGAAAGGACATTTCTTTTTCAAGTACATGGACTAATGTAGTAGAAACGATTCGTATCACGTAATGCATCGTTCATAAATTGGTTTGTGGGTTAAGGTCAAGCTCTTGGAGGCAAGTCATTTCAACCACCTTATCTTTCTCCGAACACGGAACCGTTTGATGCGATAGCAACCGGAATTAATTACGCATCTGGGTCTGCCGGTGTTTTGGACGAGACAGGATTCTTGTTCGTAAGTATATTACTACAATACATTAATTGTTTTGGTACATCGGAAGGAACTTCATACCAAGTAGACCATCAATAGGAGAAATATACTTCTAACTCTCAACACAAATTGATAAACAGATAGGAAGAGTACCATTACGGGAGCAAGTAAACAATTTCCAGCAAACTAGAACGTATTTAGTGAGAATGTTGGGCGAATCCGGCACAAGAGAGTTCCTACAGAAGACAATTTTCTCTCTTACAATTGGGTCCAATGATGTATTGAACTACGTGCAACCTACCATACCATTTCTCGGACAGGGCAAGGTCTCCCCCACCACATTCCAGGACTTCTTGATTTCCAACTTGACGGTTCAACTGAAGGTAGTGTTGATTAACGATCGCTGTTATTACAAAATTAATAATTAATTTGATACTTAATTATGTCAGGTGACGGGCAACAGAACAGGAATTATACTCTTGATTTCTTACTTGATTACATGATTTTTCTCTTATATGTAGAGACTTTATGAATTAGGGGGCAGAAAGTTCATTGTGGCGGGAATCGGACCACTTGGATGCATACCATTTGTTCGTGCACTGAATTTACTACCCACTGGGAAATGCTCAACTGAGGTGAATGAATTAATCCAAGGCTACAATGCGAAATTGAAGCTGGTCTTGAACCGTTTGAATCGAGAGATGGGACCTGAAGCAATCTTCATATATGCAAATTCTTATGATATTTTCATGAGCATGATAATTAATTATCATCGATACGGTTAGTATCACGACCACCAATGTTTCGTCCTACGGAATTCATCTGACATATCGTTTTGCTAGGGCATATCTTAATTTTACTCTCTACTTGTTCCACATAAACATATGCATAATGTCAATTAATTGGACTTGTGATTTTGGGACATGGGTAGGATTTGATGATGCGAGTGAACCGTGTTGTGGTGGATACTTTCCTCCATTTGTTTGCTTCCTAGGCCGAAATACGAATGCAACATCAGTTCTGTGCAATGATCGATCAAAGTATGTGTTTTGGGATGCGTATCACCCCACTGAAGCTGCCAATGTGATCATAGCGAAGGAGCTGCTTGATGGAGATGAAACAAAAAGTTTCCCGATCAACATCCGGCAGCTTTATAACTATAATCCCTAATTTAAGGTGATTCTAGTTTTAATTTTTTAAGGATGTCTATGGTGTTATTATAAAGTTTCACTAATTCTATAATAATTTAGTTGTTTACTATTAATATTATTTGTTTTAATTTCATCCAACTTCATAATTATAAAACGCATCAATTAAGATTAATAAATGTTAACCAGTCATATATTTAAAATCTCTTTCATACTTTGTCAAGAGATTTACCTAAGGATTCACAAGTTCATATTCAAATGTTTGTATATTTGAGCACCTTAAGTGTGATGAATATAAATGCCAGAAAAAGAGTTTCCCGTATTTTTTAATCTTTTGAAGTGAAGCTTCATGGGAGAAAACTAGGAATAATACCGAATGTATTTCATTTATATATCAACCAAGTAACAGAGTATAGGGTCTGCAAAGAAATTAATTAGAACCAAAGTCAACTCTAGTCACCAACGGTTTTTTGAAAGCTGACACACTGATTAATCCCATGAGAAGTCAACTCTCGACCGCCCGTCTCGAAAAACTTTGCAATTCTCTCACGTTAGTGAAATTAAAAAAAAAATGAAAAACAAAAAAGGAGCCAATGCTTCTCTTCTTAAATTGCAATGCCTGCTGACTTTGTATTCTAAATTCAATACTGGCACCGATATTAGCTACCGACTTGACTTAGGATTTCATGAGTTTTTCCTTCCCAATGTCACAGAGACGAATCGATTGAGAAAAATTGTATGTGTAATTGATCAGCTCCAAAGTCTCTGATCAACCTTTCTCTTTTACAAAGGGAAATGTGAGAGATGGGAAAAAATTAAAGAAAAGCAAATATATATATATATATAAATTCTATTAACTTTAGGTGAAACATCTCTAATATTTACAACAATTACTTAACTTCTTTCATTTAAATAGAGCAGTTTAAAGACCTGTTCAAGTTTAATTATTATAAGTTTATAACATTAACATACGAGTTGACTTGTATAGAAAATATGAGCTATACATATAGAGACCACATCTTTGATGATGAAACGGCAGCTGCAGGTGCAGGACTTGGTCATATTCTAAATTAATATTTTGATTCAACCACAAAAAATGAATGAATAGTGGTTGCATTTTCTTTGAGGTGCGGTGATGTGGAGTTTCAGCACATCACGTGGTGGTTAACGGTTAGCAAGCCAGCTGGCCAATGGTAAATGACTTGAATTCAGAAGTTACATGCAGGAAATCAATGCCTAATATAAAGAGCATGCACAGCTGGGGTTTCTGTTTCTTCCAAATTGCTGTAGGTGGACTTTGCTTTCGGTTTTGGGTTAGTTACACATGAGAAGAATGTTATTAGACGTTACTGTTGTTCATTTGCTCTTGTTGGTTCTTTTGCACTTTCTTTCTTTAATTTGTGTAATTGTATTTTGAATTAATTTGCTCTTGGTTGTTGGCCAACATGCAGACTCCATGTCCTAATTCTAGAATCATAGGATTGTTTGTACCTAGTACTATTAAGCCAACAAGCAGACTCGTGCTAATTCTAGAATCATATATAAGATAATATATATATACCAAGTACCGTTAAAGAGAACTTGTTCTATATTATTACTTAAGATCGTGTTTTTGGGATTTGAAGTTAGTCAAGATCCAAGACTGAATCATGCCTTTACTCAATTGAAAATGTTAGGATTTTATTATTATTATTATTATTATTCAGAATTATTCAGAAAATGCTAGGATGGACTAAGCCCATGGGGCAATATGGACTTCAAACTCATACTCTGGTTCTTGGCACCCATTTGACTAAGCTTAGGCCCATGGGTCATGCTCATTGCTCAGTCCATTCGTTGTTTGGCTTGAATTATACCACGTACAATCACCATCTCTCCTCAGGATTCTCTGGGTCACTTTAGTCATTCCACAAACAAATAGCCCCAGAAGGCCAGAAGGGATAAAGGATCTCCTGACATGGATATTATCTGTGGTCATCAATTTTTCTGTGAAATCGAACAACTCAAACCATACGTTACACAACCCTTCGTCCTCTACTATTGCTTCTAGAATCCCCTGAAGTTGCAGCATTTTTATACTTTTATAAAAGAAATAAACACAATCCTAAGATTGGTAACACTGTAAAACCTCATATTTTCTTGAACAAAAAAATTGTTGATATTCATGGTGGCTCTAGGCATACAACCTGCCCATTTCACTCCTCCACAACTTCATTCAAGACCCAAACAGAGAACCTTCACCCGCATTATTCGGTGTGGGATTGCAGAACCATCAGGGGAACCAGCTCCTTTGGGGCAGAAAACCAAGTACAACGATGGGTGGTTTGAGAAGGCATTCATGACTCTTTTTGCATGGAAGATGGAGAAGTTTGCAGCGCCGGTGAAAACCGGGATGCAGTCCAAGGAAAAGGGATGGTTTGAGTATGACTATGAGAGTTTTGTGGATGTGTCAAAGAGGGTGATGCAGGGCAGGACTCGGCTGCAGCAGCAACAAGTGGTCCGAGAGGTGCTCCTGTCCATGCTCCCTCCTGGTGCCCCAGCCCAGGTGTGCTTAATTTCCCATCTCCAGCTTGATGCAAATTACTAAAAATTTGTAGACAAATTAAAGTTGGTAGTTAATAGTTGTTGCTGTAGTGCAGTTCAGGAAACTGTTTCCGCCAACAAAGTGGGCAGCTGAGTTCAATGCTGCATTAACAGTTCCTTTCTTTCACTGGTTAGTTGGCCCTTCTGAGGTAAATATTCATTACGCATTCCTCATGTAGAGACTAAGTTTAAGAATTTTTCATTATTTCCCCCTTGTTCATATCTCTGAATTTTTTTGTTCAAAGCTATATACATTCAGTGTGATTTTCCATTTCTGATTGATGGGAATCCTTTAGGTAGTGGAAGTGGAAGTAGGAGGAGTGAAGCAAAGAAGTGGAGTTCATATAAAGAAGTGCAGGTAGAAAGTGGAAACTACTTGGTAACTTAGTGCTTATCATTTTAACTACTTGTTATCCATGAATCTGTGTCAAATATTGATAATGCTACTAAATTCTTACAACAAATTCTTGCTGCCACATGTTCTTCCAAACCTACCTGAAAGTTAATGAATGATAACATTTTTAATGAATTGGTCCCACTTAAAATCAGCTAATCAAATGAAGTGAAAAGCATGATTGTAAAAATTTATTGCATGAATTAGTTAGAACCTTTAAACATGTATGTATGGACACGTTTCTTGTGCCTTTTAAAATAAAGGAAAAACGTTTGATCCAATTCCATAGTATATAACTTATATATTACGTTTGATGAATTCCTTTGCTTCTAAACAAGGTACCTGGAGAACAGTGGGTGTGTCGGAATGTGTGTAAACATGTGCAAGATTCCTACTCAAGATTTCTTCACTAATGAGTTTGGACTTCCTTTAACCATGATTCCAAGTATGTCTCTTTAATGTTACTATTAGTTTAGTTGATCTCCAATATTGTGATTAATGCCTGACTGGGTGTGCAAATGTAACCATTCTTCCTCAGATTTTGAAGACATGAGTTGCGAAATGGTATACGGGCAAGCTCCACCCCCTTTTGAAGAGGATCCTGTATCCAAGCAGCCTTGTTTTGCAGACATATGTAAGTTCTTTCAGTTTCATCTCAAACATTGGCATTTCCCCTTTCTTTAAGAATGCACATGTTCGTCATGGTTTTTCTGCCTGTCAACAGGTTCCATGGCAAATCCAAACTCTACTGTTTGTCCTACGTTACAAGCTTGAGAAGAGGTTTCCCGCTGTCCCATGCTGTCCCAGTGGAAACAAGTATCAGAAACAGCTTCGACTGTCAACTTGTTCAATTCATGTCTGTTACCATGGGCTGGCATCTTTAGTATAGGCATACATCATTTTAAGGCAAGAAATATAGGTCGAAAACTTAAGACAAAATTAGAAAGGAAAAAATATGAATTAACGGAAACAGGGAGGAAGGAAAGAATGTTATAAGTGTAGGTTACACAGATAGGACAATTTTCAGTCTGTCAAAATGAACAATAAGAAATTGTCCCGTCCCTTATGCAAGTTTGCTTAAGACAGAAGACACTTTCCTCCTTCATTTTGTTCTTTTTCATTTTATAGGTGATGCGTATACATTTACATAATAGAGACATTTGCTTGAAAGCATTATCTAATTGATATACATAAAAGTAATACTTTTCTTGGATGAACAAGAAAGCCACCGTTCCGAAGATAAAATACAAACAAGGGTAAAAGCAGCCAAAATAAGGAGGCAGAAATTACAAATCAAACTCAAAGACTACAAAATCATCTCCCCATTAAAAGCAAATTAGTAGGGGGATGAAATAGCCTAAGTACTCTGATGCTTGCTCATTCTTCTTTCAGTCAATATGAGTACTTAGACATCGTCTCCATACATGCTTTTGTTGCAGCTACGGGTATTGGCGCTTTGACTACTTGCAATGCCGAGGCACAGTGCTTCAGCCAAGGGTCCACCAGGCGGCGAAGGCGAACTCATCCACTGGGGTCTCAAACCCATGTTTTCAAAACCGTCCATTTGCCCATTTTCATTGTTGTCATTCCGGATTGCATCTCCACCTGACATTGACAGTGTGAGGGATGATGGTGGTAGCTTAAGGTTTGAGGAAACAAAGCACTTGGTGCTAGCAATTCCATTAGTGCCAGAGCCAGAACCCCCTCCATCTGCAATTGACCATGCATCAATAAATCCCCTTGTCTCTTCTGAATGTGTCAGGTTGAGATTTATTGGTCCTCCAGCAGATTGCAAATTGAGCTGAAAATCACTCTCATTTTCACCATACCTCCTGCTCTGTGTCTTCATCCCCTGCCGCACTTGGTTTGAATTCCAAGCAAAAGGGACGTTAGAATCCCCTTTTGAGAACCGCTCCGAACACCTTCACGGGGAACCACAGAAAATTAATTTACTCATAACAGCAACAAATTGACAAAAGACAAAGACCCAAATTAAGAGCAGGGAAAAATGCTAACACACCTTGGTGGGTCAAAATGGGGTGTGGAGGATAATAGGAGGTGAGGATTTTGATGGGGTTTGGTGGTGTTTGATGCAGAAATGTTGAGTGTTAGAGACTTGACATCGTTGTTGTTGAGAAAGTGTGCTGGTGATTCCACAGGCTTTCTTGAACGGGAACGGCTCTTATGAGAGTGTCGTTCACAGTATTTCTGATTGGGAACCACATCTCTTGAGCACCTCCATTTCTTCCCATCTGTTCTTCTGCACCTCCATGGCTCTGGATCTGTGGAGTTATTGCTCGGAAACCCCAATTCCACAGACCCTTTTATCGCTTTCAAAATTCACCAGGAAAAACATTAAATGCCCTTAAAAACTCAGGAATAATACATAAAAGCAACATTAAGGAAAACGGAGCAGGAAGATCAGTACTGTTTGTTGGGGATTTGGTGATGGGTATGAGGAGTTTAGGAGGGACAGGAACAGAATCCATTATGTACTTGAATATTGCAGTCTGTCTCTCCAGCTCTTGCCATTGTGCTGCGGTGAAAGGAACCCTCACATTCACAGCTTCTGCCATTTCTCCTTGACTCTCAATTTCTAATCATACATAATATGAAGAACAAAGATGTATGGACGAAGAAAGGTGAGAACTTTACCTAGGGGATTGAACGTAAAGGACGGCTCAGTACTGCTAAAGTGATGATGCAGAGATTTTGAAGTCATTACTGAACCGGCAGCAGAGGCGGTGGCGGCGACGGCGGCGGCAGTGGATGCGGTGGCAGCATCGTATATAGCGCCTAAACTGCTGATTTCTTCTCCTCCTTCACCAAAGCAAGAAGAAGGTTGATGATGAGGACAATGATGACGAAGCATAGGCATTAGGCTATTACAGAGACAAGAAAAAGATTCCTCTGTTTGCATTTTCTGTGTACCCACAAAGGCAATGTTTGAATCATATCTTGTACCCTTCGACATCAAAACGCCAGCTTTACAATCAACAAACAATGACGGAATGACCCTAAAACAAGACAACCTTAAACTTCACGCATTTGCAAAATCTTGCACAACACAGCAAAACCCACTATCTCCTTCCTACACTGCTATGTTGATAAAGTTGGAGTTTTCGCTTTGCTTCTGTAGCTTCCAACACTCGCACCCCTTTTAGGATACAGACAAAACCACTTCACTGTACTCTGACACAAAGACACTCATTTCTTACCAACGTTCTCCTTTGTAAAACATAAGAGTGATGAAATCCCCAGCTTAATTGTGGGTACTCAAATTAATTCTCCAAAGAACAAAGTTAAATAATTGGCTCAAGCCATGAATGACTCATAGTTCTATTGAACGGTAAATTGGAGTGATAATGTTATTTAAAATTATGAGCTTACCATTACAATGTAGTTATAATAATCTTCTATAATATTTATTAATGAATATACAAAATATTATAAATAAATTTTTGTATAAAAAAATTAATTATATCATTATATATTATATTTTAAGTTTATAATATCATATAATATTATATTTATATCATTTTCATTTTCTACATGAGAGAGTTTTTATTTTGTTTGATTTTTGAAGGTTTGTAGGGAAGGGTGAAAGAGGAGAAGCTAAGGTGATACTACATCAAAGAATATTTTAGTGATTAATCCTATGTTTAAATTGAGAGAAATGAAGGAAGAGAAGATTATTTCTTTCCATTCTCCTCACTTTTTTTTCCTTTATTTGAATAAATAACTAAATTAAAAGAAAAAAGGTATAAGAAAGCAATTTTTTTTCCTCCTCTCCCCTTTAATCTTTTAGATAACCAAATAAAAAAAAAAAATTTCCCTCTCCTCTCCTCCTCTCCCTTCCTTTTTATTCCACTCAAACCAAACATACTAATAAAGATTTAGTATAAATGTTAGAAATTTTGAATTGGAAACTTATAACATTATTAAATGTTTTAAAAATACGTAGAGTTTTTTCCACCCAAAAAAAATGTAGAGTTTTTTCCACCAAAAAAAAATGCAGAGTTTATATGGTTTTGGTTAAGGACACGCTTAAATTTGATAAGTTACTTAAATTGTCAAATTTTTATTTTAATTTGAGTGTTAAAAATAATTAATAATTA